TTTCACATGATGGGATTGAACAACAGAATTGGATGTGAATGAGTATATTGGATTGTGTAAGATATGTCAATCAAACTATTACATAATTTAAAAAAATCACTCTAGACTCACTTGTCGCTAGTGGGATTTTAGGTGGGGACATACTGAATGTGCACTATGAATGCTTAAGGTGCTCTTTGTTTCTAGAGTGTCAGCACCCCTAGGCCTTTTCGGTGGACAAAGCAAAGGAATAGTTTTTTTTATTTCAATACATTTAAGGATTGTTTATTGGGATACCAGAAACTTTTTTAAAGGCAAACAATCCTTAGTTCACACTGTGTATATTGCCTAGGGGTAAACAGGTGGAAGGTGCAGGCATGAAAGCCAAATGACTTATTTTGAACATACCTTGGCTATCTAGTTTCTACTTTGGACTGATGTACATATTTTATATAGTTAATGAATATTATCTCATAGCGGCCCTATAGGGCAGGGTAGAACTGCCCCTGTGGGTTTCCAAGACTTTAACTCTTACACGAGTTAAAAGCCTCTTCCTCTCTCTCACGGCGCAGCAGGTGGTTTCAAACTGCTGATCTATGGTTAGTGGCCCAATGCCTTACCCACTACACCTCCGGGTCAGAATCAACTTGCTGACAATGAGTTTAGTTTAGTTTTGGTTTCAGTTGTTATTAATGTTAACTCAAAAACTCCTAAACATTAAAACAGCAACAATGACAATGGAAGCAAATGATCTTAACGTAACCAAAGTACCGAATTAAATAACTTTAGGTCATAGTGTTTCCACAGTACATAGACAAGGAGATATAGTCTCAAGAAACTTTAAACTTAATTCAGTAGTTTTATTGCCAGTAGAATCAGAGATATTATTCCTTTCAAACTATTTTGTGTATTATAGGAAAAGTAAATTAAGTAATAACCTGAGAATTGTTAGGAACAATGGTTTTTCATGGTAAAGTTCATGTTATTTGAAAGTTGAATGGGAAATTTGGGGATGTACAAGGACTTTTGCTAGGAATGATCAAACCCCCCTCTCCAGGTGCTGGGGGTCATTTTGCACTCTTCCCAGTGCTATGTGCCCAGCCTCTTTCCTCCCTGCTTGCCAACACAGTAGGTGGTCACACTTCTGGATTTTTGCTAATCTGATTATTTGCCTCCTTTTATCATTCTGCTTCAAGATATACCAACATGCTTTCATCTGCTTTTGGATGAACCCCCGGCACAAACAATAGGTGACTGTGCCCAGAGTACTAGGAGGACGACGGTGGCTGCCTCACTCCTATCTGTTTCCACTCACCTAATGGTGGAAATGCCAAAGCCAAACACCGCCGTCCACCTTCCTTGTTAAGACCTTGTATTTCTCAAGGCTGGTTCACCTTTCTAGACAAAGAAAAGGGCATTCAAATGTGACCTCGCTTCTTTCCAAGCTCAGCACACTGCCAAGAGGCCAGTAAGGAAAGTCCACTGATACTTTACCAGCTGTGGAATTCTGAGAAAGGGAGAGAAAGAATCACAACCCTCGTTTGAGCTATTTGCTGTCTTCAGAACAATGTCTGCAGAGCCAGAAGTCACTGTGGATGGTGGGAGTTTCCATAGAGCTCTGAGACCACCATACTACTCACACGCACCACCTCTTGTTGTGCCCTGGTGGCATAGGGGAATTATGCGTTGGACTGCTAACTGCTGTTTAGGAGTTCAGAACAACTAGCTACTCCTCAGGAGAGAAATGAGACTTTCTACTCCTTTAGAGTTAAAATCTCAGAAACCCACAGGGGCAGTTCGACCCTGTCCTGTGGGCTCGCTCTGACTTGCTAGCAGTAGGTTCAGAAAAGGAAACGTCATGGATAGAGAGTATAGAAATACCCATCTCCCACCTTTCTTTTTTGAGCATCTCCTAGTTCCCTTTATTCAAGTGGATGACTTTGTCATCAGGAGATATTGAACTATGGCTAGGGACATAGCTAAGGAGCCCTGGTACCATAGTGGTTTTGCATAGGGCTGGGAACGGAAAGGTCAGCAGTTTGATACCACTAGCCACTCTGTGGGAGAAAGACAGGAATTTCTACTCCTATAAAGAATTACAGTCTCAGAAATCCACAGGGGGAGTTCTACCCTGACCTATTGGGTCACTGTGAATAAACATTGACTCAATGGTCATGAGAGGTTTTTCCTCGAGCCCTATCTAAGTTTCCTGGATAGCACAATGGTTAAGTGTGCTACTGCTAACCTAAAGGGTGACCATTTGAGTCCACTCAGAAGCATGGTGCAAAATGTTGGGGGAAATGTAATTCTACCAGGCTTCCCCTATTTTGCATGAGCAATAATTATGCTTTGAACTCTTACAGTGGTGTTCCATTATATAACTGAATGTATGTCTCTCCTTAGGACTTTATTATCTTACTCTTATTTATGAACAGTCCTTCCATGAATCCTTGTGCGTAGTGTACTCCATGAGCCCAGTGCTGTTGCTTGTGAGGTGTGGCATTGCTTTATGTTTATTGTTTACCATGAAAAACTACTGAACACTAAACTGTGATGCACCATCAATTATAAAGTGTACTCAGATTTCAGAGATGTTAAATTGAGTCAGCATCTCAGAAATGAAATACTATATACTACAGTTACCATCCCCCACCCCAATGATGATTTTACGCAATTGGAAATCCTGGTGATCTCTTTTAGAAAAATCACAGCCACCGAAACCCTGTGAGTGCTGTCTACTCTGACCCATGCATGTCAGAACCGACTCGATGGGGACTGTTTTGTTTTTCAGGTTTTTTTTTCTTGCTGTTTCAGAGACATATTTGGTTGTCACCATTGGGAGGGGCCTGTTCTTGGCATCTAGTTGGTAGAGGCAGGTGGTACTTAGCTAAACATCCTACCATGCACAGGACAATGCCCATCGCAAAGAACTATCTGGTCCCAAATGTCAACAGTGCTGAGGTTCAGATTCCCTGCTGTGTTTTTGATGCCTACACCTGCAGGCATCCTCCACCTGGCTATTATCAGTGTGGAGGAAGGGCAGCATCTTAGATATTACCCCTCTTGGTCCTCAAAGAGTCACTAGTAATTCAGAACTCTCTTTAGTTATGAAGACGCTAAGGAATTATATATTTATCTGGAAGAGTAATGAACAAATGCCATCTTAACCTTCTAACACCTGATCATCATTAGGTGTAATGCAACCTTTTAACAGTGAGTATAAAGGAAAGTGCTGATTATTTAAAGTAAATGGGACCAAAAGTCCAATGAATAATAAAAAACTTGGTTAATAGAGTATGACCAGAGAATAATGCACTTGGCTTCTGTGAAGAAATTAAAGTACATGCTGTGAATTGGTATTAAGGAAATGACATGAAAAGTTAGTCTTAAAGCACTGTGATCCAAAGAAACGGCCTCCGGTGCACAATACATCACTTTTAGTCTTTCTCTCACTCCCTCCACTTTGTCATGACTCCTTTCACCTTGGATAACCCAGAGCTCAGGACCTGGAACCTTTTGGAATGGTAAAGTATCTCACTATCCACCCATATTTCATCAAACAACAGACCTGATTTTACTGCCAGAAGTCTATCTCTTTCCCAGGAATTATTTTCAAACCCCAGCTTGCCTTACTTATTTTGAGGCATAACGGTGTTTAATAATTTCAAGCATAATTCACTTTTCACCAAATGTGCCCACAGAAAGTTATACCTGAATTGAATTTTTGTAAACAGAATCAAAATTTTAAATCAAGGGAACCTTGCCACTGAAGGGGAACCTGAGGCAAAAACTATTTTTAGAGGAAAGCACTCACTTTTTTTTTTTTTGCAAAAAGAATCTTTAATTTACCCAATCTTAAATTTCAATTTGTATATATTGTCCAAGATTCGAGTTCGATATTATGCGTGATTTTAATGTTCAAAACTATCCACTATGGATTTGGAAGGAGTTTGAAAGCGGGAAGGTTCTCGAGCTAGTCTAAAAGTGTGAACACCATATGAACACGGCGTTGTTGACACGCGCTTTGAGCGATGAGAAAGGATAGACGAATCATTCGGGCGTATTGCTGAGCCCATCGATGGCTTTCTCTCAGCAGTCAGGTGAACAGAATGGGAAAGAAAAGTCGGCGTAGAGTGGTTGCAAACATGGACGCGGGAACTAGATCCTCACGGCGCACAAGCCCGCCTAACGTGGCCTTGGGCAGTTTACACACGGTCGCTGTGCCTCGGGTTCCTCTCTGCATCACCGAGAACGCGAACTTGACCTACGCGGCGGGCGGTCTTGAGGAGTCAGAATCGTGCGTGAGCGAATGTGGGGCAAGCGCTCGGATCGTGTGGAGCTCTCAGGCTAGGTGTTAGCAGGGAGATGACCGGAGCGGGGCGGGGCGGGGGATCCGGCGGGCTTCTTTCCATCCGCGCTGCACCCTCGCGAAGGAGGCACGGCCGGGTCTGTCTTGGCTGTGTGTACACGGAGCTAAAGAAAGCCCAGCGAGATGCACGCACGAAGCAGATGACATTTGGGGGGACGAGGAAGCCCACCCGCCGCGACACGCCGCCCTGCGGGACCCCGGGGCCCTCCCTCCACAGAGCCGGGAGGAGTCCCAGAGGCCGGGCGCTGGCGGCACACAGCCTCGGGAGGCTTTCCCGAGGACGGGCGCCTCGGCCAGGGCCTTGTCAATGACCCAAATGTTCACGTGCGCCCACTCTGAGCTGGGGGCCCGACACGCTGGGAGAAGCCAGACGGGGCCCAGATTTCGGGCGGAGGCGCATCAATCAGTACCTCGCTTTCCAGGCCCGCGCTAGTCGCCTGGCTGACGGAGAAGGGGTGGGGCCTGGGGTGGGAGGAGCTTAGAGTTCGCCCCGCCCCTCGTTTCCCGGAATCCACCTTCATAGCCCCGCCCTTTCGGGCGGCTCTGGCTAAGCCGTAAAGTAAGGACTATTTTTTGGCTCCTACAGCCCGCCTCCTTCGTTACGTCACGCCGCATTCCACGCCTCCAAGATGGCGTCCCCCATGTAGCCCGTGGCCGTGGTTTCTACCCCGGGTGGTTGAGGGCAGTATTGAGCTGGGGTTGCTGTCCATCTAGTCCAGGCTGCAGACAGTAGCAGTTCAAGTTCCTCTCAGGCCACGGCTTCTGGCAGCCAACCTCCCGCGAGTCAGGAGTCGCCGCTTCCTCCTGGCCTCAGCAAGTTTTCCCTCTTCCCCTGGTTTGTTCCCCGCGCTACCGCCGGACACCCCAAGTCCCAGATTCTCCCAGGCTCAAACCATGAGGCTCCGGCAACTACTTTTACGCTTTCCACGCCTTCTGGGAGCGCCGAGTTTCCCTCGTCGCTGGTGGTGGTCCCCGCCTCTGGACACTGTCTGCACGGTGGTCTCCTGGCGCGGCCAGTCCTCCAGGTCCCCGACCCATTGGAACCAGGTGGTGTCAGAAGCAGAGAAGATTGTGGGCTACCCCACGTCGTTTATGAGCCTCCGCTGCCTGCTGAGCGACGAGCTCAACAACATTGCTATGCAGGTGCGGAAGCTGGTGGGCACCCAGCACCCACTGCTTACCACAGCCAGGTGAGCTACTCCCGTTCCTGGGACCCACTCGCATCCAGTTGTGCCCTTTCACCCCGGCCAGAACAGCCAGCCTGCTTATCCTTTCCTTTTTACCCTCTGTTCCTCAGTCCTCTCCTTCCGTCACTCCTCATCTTAACACCTCCTCTCACTTGCTCAGTGGAGGAGGCGAGTGGTTGATCTTTTGAGAAAAAAACACTTGTCTGTTTCGCGTGGCTTTGATCCCTAACTATGGAGGGGGAAACGCCTCACTGATCTGTGGAGAAATCAAATCGGGACGTGGGATCATCGAGTCACTTTCTAGGAACAGTCTTTTAAAAGTGGGGTAGATTTCTTTTCGGCCTCATGAGGCTCCTTGGTGGTGTACTGGTTGTGCTTCGGGTTGCTGACGGTAAGATCAGCGGTTGGAAACCACCAGCCTCTCCTCTGGGAAGGCTGGGCTTTCTACTCTTGTAAAGCCTCACAGCCTCCGAAACTCAGGAGGGCAATTCTGTCTACTCTGCCCTACATCTGTGTAAGAGTTCGTGGGAGTATGAATTTAACCAAGCAGTGGTCATTATCCTCTTTGGGTTTTTACCACGTGTGCAGGACTACTACTGATTTCTAAGGCCCATACTTTTGCTTACCCGTAAACAAAAACTTTTTGTTTGCAAGAATTTAAAATTGTACAAGTAGAACCCACTTCTGTACCCATTACTCAGATCGACCTGTTCTATACACGATATATTGTTGTGATTGGGTGCTGTCCACTCACTTCCAACTCATAGCACTCTTGTGTACAACTGCATGAGACACTGCCATGTCTTGCACCATCCTCACAATTGTTCATGTGTTTGAGCCCTTTGTCGCAGTCAGTCTTATTAATTATCTTGTAAAGGGGCATCCTCTTTTTCACAAACCTCTACCAAACGTTGGACTAGTGCCTCTTGATATCATCCTGAAATGTGTGAAAAGAAGTCTTGCCATCCTAATTTCTAAGGAGCATTCTGGCTGTACTACTGTCAAGACAGATTTGTTCACTCTGGCAGTCAATGGTATATTCCTCACCGACACCACAATTCCAGTGCATCCATTTTTCTTCATTCTTACTCATTCCCTGCACAACCTTCGCGTGCATCTATAACACTATGAAGGTCTTATGCAGCAAATATACTAATACAATACCGCCTCCCATTTCTTGACTGCCACTTCCTTGGGTATTGATTGTCTTTATTCAAAATAAGGTGAAATCCCTTTTATCATGATATTTCTTAATGGTTCAATTGTTGAGGATTTTGTTTTCTTTATGTTAAGGTGTAATCAATACTGAAGTTGTGATCCATACTGAGGTGTTTTCTTCATGTTAAGATATAATCTCGATGTAACAATGACGAGAAATACAACTTTCCTCTAGTTCCTAAATGTTTCCTCCCCGCTCCCACTACCATGACTCAAATTCGATCTTGCAAG